AGAAAATAGACTTCAAAACAATTTCTCCCCTACCTCTAGCAGTATTCCTCCAATACAGTAATATGGAAATCATGACCAGGCATTCAGGGGTTATTCAGTGAGGAAGGGTATATAATGAGATGGAAATGAAAGGGGGATGTCTCAAGACCTTGAAGCCTACAGTGACCTTCAACATTAAATTCTGTCCATTGCCCAGGTGTGGACAAGAACTTTCCAAGAGCTTTCACTGAGGATAATGTTTAAATATCCTGTTTTTGGGCAAGGTGTTGGAACGGGTGGTGGTGGGACAACTCCAAGCACTCTTGGATGAGACTGACTATCTGGACCCATTTCAGTCTGACTTCAGACCCGGGTATGTTACTGAATCTGCCTTGGTTGCCCTGTATGATGATCTGTGCAGGGAGAGAGACAGGGGGAGTGTGTCCTTGTTGGTCCTCCTGGACTTCTCAGCAGCTTTCGATAACATCAACCATGGTATCCTTCTGGATAGGCTGGCAGGATTGGGAGTTGGAGGCACCTCGTGCCGGTGGTTCCGCTCCTACCTCGACAGCCGATTCCAGAAGGTGGTGCTGGGGGACTTTGGCTCTGCACCATGGCAGCTGTGCCATGGAGTTCCGCAGGGGTCCATTTTGTCTTCCTTGCTATTCAACATCTACATGAAACCTCTGGAAGAGGTCATCAGGAGGTTTGGGCTGCAGAGTCATCAGTATGCTGATGACACCCAGCTCTACCTCTCTTTTTCAACCAATCCAGGTGAGGCAGTGGCTGTACTGAACCAGTGCCTGGCCAAGGTAATGGGCTGGATGAGGACCGATAAACTGAAACTGAATCCAAACAAGATGGAAGTCCTGTTGGTGGGTGGTCTGAGCTCCTGGATAGGTGACTTGGATCTTGTCCTGAATGAGGTTGCACTCCCTCTAAAGGACAGGGTCTGCAGCTTGGGAGTGCTCTTCGATCCGGACTTGTCTTTGGAAGCTCAAGTGACTGTGGTGGCGAGGAGCACTTTCCTTCAGCTTCAGTTAATGCATCAGCTGCGTCCCTACCTGGAGGATGATTGCCTAGCGACAGTGACACATGCATTGGTTAGTTCCCGATTGGATTTCTGTAACGCACTCTACATGGGGCTGCCCTTGAAGACAGTCCGGATACTTCAGATGGTGCAAAATAGAGCAGCCAGGTTGCTGACAGGGACTGGGCATTACTCTCATATAACCCCAGTCCTCTACCAGCTTCACTGGCTTCCCATCGAAGTCTGGGCTCAATTCAAGGTGCTGGTTATTACCTATAAAGCCCTTAATGGCTTGGGACCTGGATACCTAAAGGAATGCCTTCTTCCATATTTGCCCTCCCGCCCCCTGAGATCGGCAGCAGAGGCTCTCCTCTGGGAGCCCTCCATGAAAGACATTAGGAGGCAAAGTACCCGGAGGAGGGCCTTCTCTGTGGTGATGCCCCACCTATGGAATGCGCTCCCCAGAGAGGTCTGCCTGGCACCATCAGTATTTGTTTTTCAGTGCCAGGCTAAGACCTTTTTATTTAAACAATATTTTAATAACTTTTAATATCATCTATAGATTTTAATTTGCAGCCAGGGTGAATCTGGATTTTATTTGTATTATGCTTATTTATTTTATGTAAGCCGTCCCGAGGCTATGCAATGGGATGGCATACAAAAATTCTAAACAAACAAACAAACAAACAAACAAACCTTTATAGTCTTGATTGCAGAATTATCAGTGGGGCAGAATTATCTCTTTTACAAGATAACAAATGGCTCCAAGTTTGGCACAGGTGTTGACTGACCCATGTCATTTTATGCAGATCTGGGGAATTGTCAAGGAAAGCAGGTATCCTTGCAGATTATTCATCCTCCCCAACTGGCACCCTAAATTGTCAAGAAGCACTTCCTTTGTGAAGGATCTTGGCTCTATAAAATGCAGCAGCAAATTCTGTTTTATGGAACATTGAAATGTGTCAATAGCTGAGAAAGTCAGCAGTTTGGCAACCAAGACTTCTCCGCCTTGATAACAGCTGCTACTCCTGATTAGATAATCTACTTCACTTTCCTACAGTTTTATAAGTCACACATTTCAGTAGAAATGTAAAATACAATGACATACCACAAAGCCAGGGAAAAGTATGGGGAATGCTCAGTATATGTTTTGAGAGGTTGAATTTCCAAAAAAACCATGTATCTACAAGCTATGAGATTTGCCAAGACACAGGACTGGCAAGATGAAATTCTATCACAAGGTCTTCAAACAAAAGCAGCAGGTTTAAGACTACAGTGGTACCTTGGCTCACAAACTTAATCCATTCCACGATTCTGGTTGTGACCCAAATTGGTTGTGTCCCAAGTCAAATTTCCTTATAAGATTCAATGTAAATAAAGTTAATCCGTTCTGGCCCCTTCGAATGTGGTGGTGAGCCAAGTCAAATTTCCCCATAAGGTTCAATGTAAATAAGGTTAATCCATTCTGTAACTTTTTTTTTTAATCAGAAAAATTTGAAACAAAGTACTGTACAGTACAGTGGAGAACACTAACCTAGGTGGGGAGGGAGGTTATTGTTTTGAGGGAGAGTCCCCCTCCATAAGGAGATTGGGGAGATCTCTTTCAGGGGTTTCCTTTCTTCTTTGTCTCTTAGCTGCAGGGTCAAATTTGGTGGAAAATCTGTCACTTGTTTTTTTCCTGTCCTGCATAACCCTCCGGAAATGAGAGACCACATTATTGTTCATCAGATTCAACACTCTGTTCGTTACAGTTATGTTGGGGTGGTGCTTCTCAAATCCTGGCACTCATTCCATTTTTTCATAATGGATTGTATCACATCACTGCTAACCTCCTCCTTGCCTTCCTCCTCCTCAGTTGAATCCTTCTGCTGCTCACTCTGGAGTTCAGCAAGTTCTTCTGTCGTCAGCTCCTATCCGTCTTCCCTGCACGAACGCAACTGCGATTGTGGCCATCTCCCCACTCAGGGGGTGGGGGGTGGGGAGATGGCTGCAATCATGCTGGGTGTGTGTGTGGGGGGGAGATTGCCGAGATTGTGCCCGTCTTTCCTGTAGGAGCACGCCCATGATCATGCATGTCTTCCCTGCACAAGCGCAACTGCGATTGAGGCCATCTCCCCACTCAGGGGTGGGGTGGGGAGGTGGCGTGATCTTGTCTGCCACCCAATGCGGAGTTCGTGACCCGAGTCAAAATTTTCATGAAATTTTTGTTCGTGACTCAATTTGGTTGTGAACCAAGGAGTTTGTGAGCCAAGGCACCACTGAATTAGTAAGATGTAGAGATGCAGAAAAGAATATAACTGAACTATGGAACTTGCTCCCACAATATTTAACACTGGCCACCAATCTGGATGGCTTTACAAGAGACCAAAACAAATGCAAGGAGGATAAGGCTATTCAGGACCACTAATCCTGATGGTGATATGCTACCTCCAATATCAGAAGCAGTATGTCTGTAGTCATCAGTTGCTGTGGAGCATCGGTGGGATCCTGCTGCTGCTGATGCATTGATAGATGTGCCATCAATGGCACCTGGTTTGCTACTGTATGAAGAGGATGCTGGAGTGGATGGACCTTAGTCTGATCCAGCATGGCTTCTTTTATGTTCTTATGATGTTGGCATGGCTGCTCATAAATAAAGTCTGTTATATATAATGGATTTCTTCTCAATTACTTATTCTTAAGGTTAAACATTTCAGCTCAAACTAACCATGTTTATTTGGAAGTAAATTCCACTTAGCTCCAGTGTGACTTATTCCAAGTAAGATGCCGTAGGATCTCAACTTTAATATACCACTTCAGAAAAATCCCTGGAACTGTGGTAGCCCTTCATAACAAGCATAATGTAAAGAAGTACTGGCTACTCTCTGTTGCTGTCCTGCTTGCAGAAACTGCTACAGGGTCCTGGGAGAAGACAGTGCTATAGTTCTGGGGTCCCCAACAGAGTGCCTGGGGATACCTCTTGGTTCCTGCCATACTCCATGCCCATTTAAAATTTTTATTTCTCTTTAAAATATTTTTAAATTGTTTTTAACTGGGATGCTGGACTGCTGCAGAGCAAAGGACTGGTCTCCAGCACCAACTTCATTTGGGATTTGCAGCACTATACTCTGTACTTAGATTCTTGGGCAAGTTACACAAGCAATGTGGGGGGCGCAGTAGTAAAACCTGGGGTGGGGGTAGAGGTAGCACACCCCTGCTCTATACATTGTTTACACATCTCATAACATTACTGTTTAAAGGAGCCAAGCTAACACTCTGGGCTGAAGTGTCTCTTGCGATGCACTGGTATGATTTGCAGTAGTACTCTAGTTAAACAAGCCATGGGTCAAACGCTGCTCCAGGTTCATATACCATGCTCACAGCCTGCAAACTGGCTGGGCATAGGTTACTCAGGAAAAGTAAAGTGACTCCCACTTGTGAATGGCAAATCCAGGATTGATTACATGCAAACAGGGTCAAAGAGAACCAGTTGGATAATGCTGGAAAATATCCCATTCATTCAGGTACCTGTAACATCTATAGATATATTCACTCCCTTGCCACAGTCCAAATATCAGAGTGACACTTAAGACAACGTAAATTGAAAAGTATATTTTCTGCTAAGAACAGAAAACCTTGGGCTGTACCATGTTATTGCAGGAATTGGTTTTGGATTCATTATGTCAGCATCTTGAGAATCTCAGCTTTCATTTCATGAAGTAAATGAGCAAACAATAGTTTCTTGTCCCTTTAGATTGCCGAGATCATTTTTGAATTTGTGGTTAGTGCCTGATCAAATGTCAAAAATCTGTGGGAGGATAAAGAGGCTGAATAGGATTTCTAATTATCTTTTTCCCTACCCGTGACCACCAGCAGCAGAATAAAGTATAAAAATAGGAAAATTTGCTTAAGTCACGCAATGTATAAAGGTTGTTGAATTCAGCTTTGTTGGAACAAAACATGGGTTACTGTGGCATAGACTTTTTATTTAATGCTATTTTTAATTGTCTACTGTAGCACATACACAGATCTATTCTGGTTCTTATGACAAGACAAAGGTAACCAACTCACTATCTGGGTTAACACAGCAATTTTCCCAAGAACGCTACAATCCACTTAAGAAGAAACCAAAGCCTACTCGTCCTCTCCATTTGCAACTGTGCTGTTGAAGAGTGTCCGAAATGCCTGCACCACGCTCTCTGTTCCAAAAGGAAATGCGGAAGGAAACGCAAGAGACCACTGCCTCCTTGTTCCTAGCAGGCCAGGCGGCTGCTGTTCACCCTCCTCTCATGCAGTTCTAAGAGGGATGAGAATCTATCAAGTGGAAGAAGGCATTTTTAATTACCTTTAACAAGGCGCTTTAGCAGGCATGATCTTTCATTCAGACTGGGGAGAAGGGAAATAAACTAGGCTACACACATAGCATACTATCAGTCAACAACAGAGACAGATGATGGCAAATACATGCTTCTAATACCATTGGTCTAGGATTTCTGGCACCACGGCAATCCTATCTTGATGCAGTATTTATGTACTGTATATCAGACTTGTGCCAGAACGCAAACAAACCTCCTGTCCCAGGGCCACTCACATCATTCAGGGGAGCTGAATGGGTGCAGTTGCCTTGGCTGTTGGAAGCCAAGTTGCAGATTAGAAAGGGCAGATGAAAGGTAGCACGTTGCTTATTCTTCTGTGGCTACTCAAAACCAAGAAACATTACCTTGGCAGACCCAAGTCCTGGACTGCAATCTGGTCAATCATAGCAGAGGGAAAACTAGATTCAATCCATTTGATAATTGGCAAGCCCTAATATTAACTGCTGCAACCTCTTCACACTAGATCTGGTTACATCTTTAAAAGACAGTGGTTGGATCCAAGTTTAGGCCCCTTGAAGTTAATGGTAGAAGTAAGTCACTACTAATGCAAGTTCCATTGAGGTTAGCTTGATTAATTCACAGTCCAACAAAAAAAGTCTTTTTTCTTGGTGCCTTGCTTTTAGATCTGTTCTTGGGGTAATTTGGGGTGCTGATTGAGAAAATTACATTGGCTAGACTGCATCAGCTCTAGTTTCTTAGATACGGTCAAATTTATATAATTTTTAGTCAGTTTTTGAAAAGATCTTGCTGATCAACTTGTCCTTCTGTCACCTAGTTTGTGTTTCTGCATAAAAGGTAGCAGATATGGTGAGAGTGCTTACATACTTCCAACTTAAACATTGGGATTCTAAAGGGTAGTTTACTAACTGTGTTATAGCTATGATAGTACAGGAAGTGTGTGAATCATCCTGCCATCATTATGATACATTTACATTACATATAAAGCTAGGCCTGATGAAACTATTTGTAAAGGCTTTGAATAAAGATGGTTCATGCTTGGAATGCATAGTGCATAAATTACCTGGACTTACCATGGAAAAACTGAAGGCAGAAATTTTTGATGGGTCACAGATCAGACAGCTCATAAATGGCCCGCCTTGCATAGAATCAATGAATGAAATCAAATCTTGTGCCTGGTCTTTATTTGTTCTTGTTGTGAAAAACTTCCTTGGCAACAAGAAGGCAGACAGCTATACTCAGTTAGGAGAGGAGATGCTTTCATTTCAACGGGCTGGGCTGTAAAATGAGTGTTAAAATCCATTATCTGCACAGTCACTTAGATCACTTTCCAGAAAACCTTGGTGACTTAAGCGAAGAGCAAGGTGAAATATTTCATCAAGACATAAAAACAATGGAAGGCAGATACCAAGGAAGATGGGATGCACACATGATGGCAGAGTAATCTTGGAACCTTATATGGGATTGTCCTAGCAGATCCCACTCCCAGAAATCTGGCAAAAGGAGCTTCTTCTGTGTTGAATGATTGGAATGTTTGTATCATAAACCTGTGCTTTTGGTTTGAAATAAGTAGATTTAGTGTATTTCATTTTTAAAAAATTTAATGTCTTTCTTTCATGCTGTAAGGAGATTAAATAAAACACGGCATTAAATTATCCTGATTTTTGACAGGCAACCAGAATGAAGAAATATATGGCATTTATGCTGTATCTCAAAAACTAGAGCTGATAGGGAAAAATTGGTGCCATTCTTGAAAACTGCAGGTCAAATATACTCAGGAACAGGTCTAACATTTGAGGCACCATAATGATGGATCCGAACCCATAAGGGAAAGGGTAAAAGTGCTATATGGTGAAATGAAACTTTACGAAGACCCACAAGGTCATCACCAAAAACAGCATCTGACTGTCAGGTTACCCTCCTCTCCAGTTCCTGTAGTTCATTTCTGGACATGATTACCATGTGAGTTCCACCACCTCAGGTTTACATCAATGATGGAAGTAGGCAAGATGGAGCTATCAGGACATGGGACAAGTTGTACTGAAAACCTGATGATTCTAATCAGGTTTCATTGTACCACAAGATGTTGTGTGGACACCTGTCTCATTCTTTCTCCTCTCTACAATACATATTGCTGATTAAATAAATCTACTGTAGCCCAGTCTCTGAACTATGTTACAGGGAATGGCACGCACAAGCATTTTAAGATAGCTGACCATTTTTAGGAATGTCTGTGCACTGTGAAAAAGACTAATGCAGTTATAAATAGTGTATAATTTAATTCAGAAAAATATGCCCAGCTCATATGGACCTAGTACTGTAAAGTTAAGAGAAGTGAAGAAGGAAAAGGGGGACAATAAGCAGCCAAGAACCAATCCATTGAGATTCTTGTACACATGTGCAATGCCTTTTCACTGATATCATAATTATAAAATAATCCAGTTTTGTATATCAAATACGAGACATGTGGAACCTGTAAAAGATATACAAAATATAATTATTACCAGAGCTATGCATTTTCAGACCTTCAAAAGAAACCACAAAGGTTTGCGTATGTACGTATATAGGCATATGTTATAATTTTAGGGTCAACACTAGCATTGAGTTTGTCTCTTCTAAATACAGACCAGTATACTTCCTATCCCAACACATGCACTTACAAACACATGATCATGCATACAGCATTTCTTCCTGCCATTTGTGGGAAAAGTAAGAATATACATAACTATATAGTATTTAATTTTTAACTGATTGGGGAGATGGATATTGGCATATGTCATTCAAAGGAAAAAGGACTGTGAGCTATAAAAGTATATATACAAATGGATGGCGGTAGAAGGGCATTCTTATCTAATTGATAAAAACACTGAAGACTATAAGGATATCTAAGAATTTTTCCAGCAAGTCAAAAAGACTGTTGACCAACATGCAATTGCATAGAACTGGTTGTGGTCAAGAACATGGAAAAGAGAGTCCATGTGGAATTCTGAAGCTCTTGCAATGCCACCAAGTCGATTCTTGAGTTTAGACTCACTGAGACCCCTCCACAAAAGTTCAGGAGAGTTCATTCAAAGTGGTTCTTCGCACAGCAGGTGGAGCTGAAGGAGATCTGGAAGCCCATCTGGAAGGTAAGCGTCTGTTTGCTGGCCGGGCTGGCCGAGAGAAGCCTTTCCCATTTGACTGTTTGGCTGGCACAAATACCTATGATACAAAAGTAGCTGCTTGGGTTATGAATGCAGAACAAACCCCCTCCAAAAGCATTCGTGGAATTTTAGGAGAATGGCATAATGCGCATTGGTCAGCCTTACGACAGGTGGTCCACAGCTATTTAAAGGCCCAGAGAATGTATTATTTACCATTCACATAGTAATGTAAGGATGTAACAGCAAAAGAACTCTTGCATGTGTCGAAGGAAATATGTGGCATGCAAAATGCCAGAAAGGCTTTAATTTAGAGTTATGGCCATCTTCGCACACAGCCAAACCCTTCCTAAACTTACCAGAATAGGGAGGTAAAAGACAACCTGATAACCTGTGTGGGCCAAAACAGATTCATTCTGATTAATCCACCATCTGCTGGGCCCAATCTGGAATGCATCTGGGCTTAAATCCAGAAAAATGTAGTCTTATTCCCTCCTGTTTTTAGATGGTGATCTCACAAATACCACAAAAGCAAACCCTGTTGTTGTTGTGATATGCCATCAAGTCATTTACGACTTAGTGGAGACCCTATGCATTAAAGCACTCCAAAATGTCTTATGAATAACAGTCCTTCAAACCCCATGTTAATTTAAATCATTACTTCCTCATCACTGCATCTTTGTTGACAGTTTCTTTCACTTGTTCCAAATGTGAAACACATAAACAAAATGATGTTTGTATAGTTCAGTTCTATTTACTTTACTATTTGCTTACATAGTACTCACTTGGATCATGCTCCGGTGTTTTAAGTGGCATATGAATCTTGGCTTATTGAAGCACTTCTTTGAATATGTAGTGTAATGCTACAACATTGCTACTGCCAGGTTTTGATCATACTTGCAATGGGGGTAAAATAGCATGCCACTGACCAACTTTTTGTTTACTCTAGAGTAAGTCTGCAGGTTCCCAGTCTGGATCAGGATAGTTACATCTCTATCCAACTGCCTGCTTTCCTACCTCCTACCCCCACCACATGCTATGGTTTAAAAACAGGAAAGAAGGAAAAAAAGAAGGAAAAAACCTCTACTGGCACCAACAGAGCCTTCCCACATGCAGAGGTCCCAATCCAGATTCTCCATCTCCAAGGGGTCCTAACCATCGGGAGGTACTTCCTGACATCCAACCTAAACATCCAATTTGATGTTACCCTTGCCTGCAGGGCCAGTTCTCAATCAGGCCCTCCTGAAGGTTCCAAAACAAGGCTTTTGGACGAGCATCATTTAAGTCTGCACGTGGTATCAACTTTCTGCCTTACTCTTTGCCTCCTCCTCCTCCAGACAGTGGGCTTACATGCTGAAAATACTGCTCTTGTAGCACACTAGTACATAATGCACATCCCATTCAGGTATCAGAAAGCTTATTCATGACAAACATAGAAGGACCCATTCCGTTCTGAACTCCTACCTCAGGAAATTTCTGCTTCTCTTTGCCATGCTTGGTATAAAGTCCAATGTGCCTGATTGAATTCTTCTGCTGCTCCTGCTTTCCTTGGTCTGCCTGGAACATTTCAAAATAAGGACCCGATTTTTCAGAGCCACCATCAGCAGATTCAGAATTAGGCTGCATCCACTGCTCTTTCTGCAACCTTGAGCTCCACAAGGAAGTTGATTTTTCATAGTTCTTCAGAAGTTTTTCAACAACACCATAGTTGGATCTGGAGTCAGCTGACCGTGGGCGGCCAGACAAATTGCTTGGCCTCCAGTCATGCTCATGGAGCATATGCTGGTAGCCACTCAAAAATCCATTTAGTTGCTTTTGCTGCCCTGTTGCTTTGACATGCTTGTTGGGTTTGGAAGGTTTTCCTTCCTTTCTGGAAGGTAACCCAGGATTCACAATAGAGGTTGACTCTTCTTCATTTTGTGTTCTGTCTTCTAGTATGCAGTGGGGTTTAGGATCTCCTGATGGTACTGGCAGCATCTGGGTCTGTTGCAGACACCTTTGGCCTTTATCTGTGTGGAACACAGTCCTGTTAAACTCATCGATTTTAGCTTCCAGTGTTTCATTTCGCTGAGTCTTTCCAGTTCCATAGCCAGAATCACCCAGAGTGTCACATGCAGGAGTGTAAATGTCACTGGAATAATGCACGCCACTCTGAAGTTTGGGGTGCTGTTGCTGGGGCACCATATCTCCATCAGAACAGCTCTTCTGGACAGAGTGTGAGAAAGAACCATTCCTGGGACAATCCCCAACTGGGCTTGTATCACAAGACCACGTGTTGTGACAAAAGCCTGCTGGAAACTTGCTTTCAAGGGATGGATCCCATTGTTCTGTGGTGGGCACTATGGTAACCCCTGCAGGCCCAGTAACTGATTTCCATTCATTTGTCGGTAGTACTGAAGCATGTGTTTGCTTTCCAAAAGGTGGATTAATAGCTGGGATCCCGTCCAGATAGTCCTGGGTCTTACCATTGGTCTTGTGCCCTGTATCTTTGGCTAATGCTTCAGAAACATGCGCAAGAGAGTTTGTCAAATGCCGAGAAGTGCTTCTTGGAGGGACAGGAGGAGCTTCTCTTTTTTGCCAAGGCAAAAAGCTGGTTTTCTCAACCCCTCCAATGGGTGGCATCTCCTTCAAACATCTGCTGGTGCCCATCAAGTTCTTCCTGTTATTTTGTTCTTCTTTTTCAGCAGCAGTTGAAACTGGTTGTGTGTCCTTGTTATTTGTGTGGTTTACCTCTGGTATGTTTTCAGTCTCTACAGATTCTTCCAAAAAAGGAAACAACTTCTTTCTGCATGAGCAACAAAAGGATAAGGAGCAATTTTATTTTATTTAACTGTGTCCCCCCAGTACTAGACAGCCCAAAAGTGGGATAGAACTCCAGCTATTAGAACAGACCCACACCTTTATGAAGTCATGCAATTTCATGGTACTCAAGAATGAAATATAGCATCACTGAAGACAGCCATTACATTAAGACCATCTTGTGGGTACCAGATGATGACACAAAATGAGGCCTACCTCTGCTCAAGGCCTTTGCAGGCCTATCTCTGACCCAAAATGCAGCCTTCTCAGCCCTGTGCCCTCCCAATCTTAGACTACAACTCCCATCATTCATCCCACCATGGCCATACACCAAAACACTTGGAGGGCACCCACCCAGTTGGAGAGGTCTACTTTAAGGAACTATATGAGGGTCTCATCAAATCCCAAGCTCTGAAACACCTCATTTTGGACTTTTGACTGGCCCCTGCTCTCAGTTTTCAGAAAGGGGTTCAAAGCACATCTTTTCCAACATAGCTTTTCAGAGTGCTGTGGCCTTTAAGGCTGTTTTAGAGTCCTTACCATGGGCAGCATCCAATGGGGTCATTCTGCTTCTGCTTGTTCTGCTGCACCCACAGGGCCCGCCTCTTGCACCGTGGCAGTGCCTCTAAAAATAAGCCTGGAAATACTTATTTCCACAGTGAGGCTAGTCAGTGGAACACTCTTCAGAGAGCTCTGTTGGTCTGAGCCCCTCAGCAAAGAAGACATTTGGCTTGTTTCCAGTTGCTTCTGGATCCACCAGCTTCCCATTGTGTAGCAAGAAGTATTGCATTTTGAAGAACCAACAGGAGAGAGTAAAATTAGAGTCTTGTGTGTCCATGTAAAACCTTTTGTTATTGCCCAACATGCTTTGGAAATTCTATTTTCCTTCATCAAGGGGTACTTGTCTTCTGTTAAAAGCATTGAAAAGACCATCTGTCATCTTTCTTTCTTTCTTTCTTTCTTTCTTTCTTTCTTTCTTTCTTTCTTTCTTCACAAAAGAATTTTCAAAATGTGTTGTGTTTCCTCATTGTTGTAACATGTGTTGGGTTGCAACAAAAGGCTTTCCAGAAGCATCCAAGCCTCTCATTTCACTCTGTTCCATGGATTCTTCTTTGCACGTGTGCTATGCCCTTTAGTTTTGCCCTCAGTATTACATTTTGCCGTATGTTTTTGACTGCGTGCTTCCACATAGCCTGAAGTGCCTGATCCTGCCTAATACTGGAAGCTAAGAAGAGTTGGCCCTGGTAAGAATCTGGATGGGAGACTGAAGTCCTGCATTGAGCAGGCAGTTAGACCTGATGGCCTTCTAGGTCCCTTCCAACTATATGATTCCATGATTGTGGTTTATTTTTTGAATGTTTTGTAAACTGCTTTGCTGGCTTCAGAAAGGAACTTTAGAAATTGGATCAGCCAAAACCTTCAGGAGAGCTGCCTAGAATGAAGGATGAGTGACTTTTATTTATAGTTTTTACAACGATCACATGGAGAGAGGGTAAATGGAATGTTGCAAAGCAATCTCAGCTCCTAGACGGTGCAGAGTCCCTCTTCTATGACTATAGACAGGGCCGTGACCCAGGAGAAGATCCAGTTGTAGCTCTCCCCACACTCCTCCCATGCCCAGCTGCCATGGGAAGCTTCTCTTGTGGGGTCACAACTGTGACTTTGGAAGAGGGATCAAAAAAGAAGTGAGGTGGTTGTCAAGGAGAGGAAGGGAGAGGAGAGGCCTAGCTCCACTTAATCCAAGAGCCTTTCTGTTGCTGCCAAGGCTCTCTAAGCAAGATGGATGGGTTAAGAGGCCCATCTAGAGAAAATATTTTAAATAGAGGTTGGAGAGGCTGTTAAAGTCTCAGTCATCCCCCAGCCTTGCCCAGCTCTTGCTGAGCGTGCTTTGGGTAGGGTTCAAAGACCTTTATCTATGAAGCATCAGTCCCTTAGGATTGTGCTTTAAATCAGATAATGGCCATATTTGTTGGAGTATAGAGGAATTGTCCATTTCTTTCTGTGAACCAAATCCTAATCCTCTGCTCAATCAATAGAAACTAGATTGCTGTTAAACCGTATTGAAATCAACCTAATCTTAGCACCACCAATAGCCAGAACTAATTTGTCACTGAAGCGTGACTAGCTTTTTCTGGATTAGTGCCAAAGAGATAAAAGCAGCATGTCCTTCCTGCTTGGCTGTATGGGCAGCTGAGACTGTGGGATTGCCCATAAAGTCTGCCATGGTTTTCACAACATTTTTAAAGCAGCCAGAGAAAGCGGATCCCTTGAAAAGATTTAAGGTGTGGTTTCACAAATACGCACAAGATTAAAGAATTCTCAGCTGTTTCAGATGAGATGAGAGGAGAGTTTAACAAGCGCCTCAGCTGATGTTTATATCACAACCAAAAATAATATGTGAACTAGGTTAAGGCAGAAATGATCCCTAGTTCTACTTTTTTTTTTTTTTTTTTTTTTGGTATATTATGCCAAAATGTAGCTCTGTAAAAGCCAGAGAAAGCACAGAAACCCCATAGACCAAAGGGACCCCAAATTTTAATAGAAGTCAGGCAAGTTGCAGAGCAAAGCTCCAGTTGTGCTCAACATCTCCATATTCCCAGAGTGCCTCTGTGCCTCTCATGGAGCCCCAAAGCAATCTGGGAAAAGATGGATGGCAGGTTTGACTGGCATTCTGTTCCTCAGCCAGACTTTTCTGTACCAAGACAGACAGACAGACAAGCCACCACCCAAAAACAAATGGTGGGGGTGGGGGGAGAGAAAGAGCAAACAGCGGGAGCTTGCACATCATGACAACCCACTGTGGCAATTTGTCACATCAGGTCGGTTATTTTGCAAAGCACCAACAATTACCCTGACAAACAATTGGGTTTAATGTGAATACCATGTTCTTTCCCTCCCTCTCTTTTCTCTTGTTCCTCCAGGCAGTACCCCAGGAGACACCATGAGAGGTACAAGTCTTCTCTCCATTCCAACTAGGAAGCTGAGCCATTTTCAGCTCACCATAGCTATTTTTACCTTGTTTTGTTTCTGTTTTGGATATCATGAATGCTAAAGCTGTTCAGTCAGCTTTAGTGTCCCTTTTCAGCAGCTGTGAGCTGCCTACCCAAGGTGTCCTGGGCTGGGCTGGGCTGGGCTGGGCTGGGGGCCCTACAGTCATCCCCCACTTTTTTTCAGGGATGCAGAAAGTACTGTGTGAAAATAACTGCATATATTACTTTCCCTTTTACTGCAACCTGCCTGATTTTCAAAAAATGGACAGGATAGGTTTGTATGGGGGGAGCCTTGAGTTGGTACTGAAGGGGGTGTGGCTGCTTGCCAAATTTGGCAGATAGCCTTCTCTTTACAATACTTACCCAGATAAGTATTCTCTCTCTCCCTTGCGAGGTTTGCAGATTATCCCTGAACACAATCTGCACAAGCCCTGCAAAATCCTGGGAGAGCTTTACTTGCAAACCAGGGTTGGTTGCTCCTCTTTGAAAATGGATCCTCCACTTTTTGGGGGGCAGGGGTGAGATGGGATGGCTTTAGGGTCCCTGCAGATTTCCCAGTATTCCCCAGATAGTAACAAAATAGGAAACACTGGTAACTCGAGAAGATTCCCACTTCAAAGGTAGGCCTCTCCGCTGCACAGTTCTGGAGCATCATTTCTGAAATGCATTTTGCAAATTGGGAGAGAGCCAGGCAAGTGCACAGTTATGGGTAGTTATGTGCCTGTCAAAACAGAAATTTCTGGCCCTTCCCCGAGAAATGCCTGCTGTCATAATCCGAGTGTACTTGGGTATGGGAAGACCACCATTTTTGCAGCTAAAATTGAGTCAATTGCACAACTGAGAAGACCCCACAAGGAACCAGTTGGAAAAGAGAGTGAAATTCTGGAGGTGGTCCCCAAATGAATCCTTGGGTTTTGGAGGGGGGTTGTCTCATGTACCACTGGGTTATCCATACTGGACAAATGTTTCCATGCGAAGCAGCATGGACATTTTTGTGCCAGAACTCTTATTCATTACAGATAGAAGGAATGATGGTCCACAGATACAGAATATGTAAAGGCTAAATTAATTTAATTTTTTATCCAGTTCTCGGTCACTCAATTTTCCATCTCCCATTCAGTCCTATTACTCAGTCATTTGGATCTCGTCTTGCATGTCCTATATGCCTAAAGTAGAAAGATCGACATAATTTTACCTTCTGTGATTGGACTTCTTACGGATTTCCTCTTGATAGCTGCACAAGTCTTCACTTACTTTGGCAAGCTCTTTGAGAGCCTTCACAAATGAAAAGCGCAATATTTTAGTGTTATCACTTTTTAGGAAAAACATCTAGAATAACTGTAAATATAGCTCAAATGTACATCCTGTATCCTATATCAGAGGGAACGAAAGCAGGGGCATGGAGCAAAGATATCTGAGATACCTACTTAGCATGGCCATAGCTACTTCTGTAGCAAAGTCTTGCTTTGCTGTGGTTTTGCATTTGCTGTTCTAGTTTTATTTTTTATTTTTAATCCACCTTGAGTACTTGTTGCAGAAAGACAGAATATTCATTACTGAGGTAAGTCTAGCACTCTGGGTAATGCAGTTTGCATTCATGAGGCTGGATCATGATCTGCAGATGTCCTGACAGCATCCTTCTCCCCTTTCTGAGAAAGTCTTCTCCTCTTTGCCTCCTGAGGGTTAACATTGCTTTCTCTTGCATGAGCACTGGAACTAATCTTCCTTTTTTTTTAAAAAATCCACCTTCTCTTGTAACCAGGGACTGCAGTGAGGATTTTTGGAAAACTACCGTTAGCATTTATATAAATCATGGCTTCCACTGGTGCCCATGCAGTGGAAATCCAGGGTAATTCCAGGAGAGGAATAATGGAAAACTCATGAGTCCTCACTCACGGTAGTTTGCATGTACTTCACATCACATCTTCCTCTTCCAGAACTCACCAGGAGTAAAGGGAGCAACATAAGAACGCAAGAAGAGTCATGCTGGATCAGTCCCAAGGTCCATCTAGTCCAGGATTCCATACACATGGTAGCAAACCAGCTTCCCACAGGATCACCCAAGCAGGATGGGTGCAAGATCATGGCCTGTCCAAGCTGCTCAGCAACTGGTGCAGGCAGGCAGGCCACCTCTGCTAAAGGAGGTAGCACACAGCCAGCAAGGCAAGTAGCCACTGGTAACCTTCTCCTTCATGAACCTGTCCAGCTCCCTTTGGAAGCCATCCAAACTGGTGGCCACTACCACTTCACGTGGCAGCAAATTCCATAGTTCAACTATATGTTATGTGAAGGAGTACATTTATCTGTCCAAAACCTCTGACTAATCAGCTTCATCAGTGACCCTGGGTTTCAGCGTTATAGGAGAGGTCCCACATTCATGAGGTAGGCTCACAATTTAGAACCAGGAATTGCATTGCAGGAAGGCCATGTTATACCTACACAAGACCACAGACAGAGGAGAAGGTCTTCTCCACCGGGGGCTCTCCAGGTGCCTTGGCCTACAGCTCCCATAATTGCCAGACAACATAACCAATGCTGGCAATTATAGGAGTTGCATTCCCATAATGCAGCCAGAGGGCACTGGGCTGGGGGAAGCTGGGTTATGTAATCAAATATATTCAACAAGCAGAAGAGTTTGAAGATGTGTACCTTGATTGACAGATTACTGAATCTTCAGCATTCAGGGAGAGATATTTTGGGAACACAGGGCAAGGGGATGTTTGCTTCCACGTATTGCTAGTTAGCATGTTTCTGCACTCATCCATTTCAGTTTAGGTCAAGCTGACCTGATCTTGTTACCTTCCAGATGAAATGGAATAGACTCAGAGGAGTTGAAACACTTTTAGAATAGTGCCATGAAGCAGCTATGTATAAGAATGCACTGGCATGCTACAGGTTGAATTTGGGTTTACCCCACCCTCAAAGAAACATTGGTGACAAGTTTACTCACAATATTGAGATCCTGGGTATAATTCTTGGTTGTTTTCAAGCCTGGGAAGTCTCCAGATTCCTTGGAACTCTCAAAGTCCAGATTATCCTTTGAAAGAGCATTGTTTCTCCTCCTGTTTCTCGTGTCCTTGCTTTCCTTCTCTGCCCTGGGGAGCATGCTCGCTTTGTCTAGTGACCAAGAGTTCAGTCCTGGTGTGTCACTCCATTCTAAAGTGGGGAAATGAGACTGCTGCGGTGCCTTGTTATGAATGGCTTTATTCTCAAAGGCATTCATATTGCTCTCACGCCTTAATTTCACCTCCTGGTAAAGCTGGAAAGGAAACAAAAGGCCTCCTATTAGACTACAGTGATCTTAGATGCCCGACAAACAATGGGTGATATTTATTTTCACTCTGAGCTTGTGTCATCAGACTCCAAAGTTTGGATGCATTGGTGGGCTGAGAAATCTGGGTGTTATTTTTAGAAAGAGCTGTCAAACTAATGGCTCTGGCCTCATTTCTTTTCACAGGATACAAAGGAAGGATTGCAGTTCCTAAAACACTGACTGTGTTTTAAATGTAAAGCATATGAATGTGAAGCTGCTGTGCACTAGGATAGGGCCTCAAAAGGTTTTCAGTACATCCTAAGACAAGCTCACACTGGCTCTCAAACTGCAGCACTTCTCAGTTGGGCTGAAAGAACTTCTGGGGATGCACAAAATGCTTGAATGAGACATAATCACTGGCAGGAGAGCGGTAGACTCAGGGTAGAGAATACAGAGCATCTGGAAAGCAGAGCAAACGGAGACATGCATGAGAGAGGCTAGCTTATGGCGGTGTTTCCCGTGCTGACACATGCTTCAGGGTAAATTCGAATTGGAAGCACATTTCACTATTTGTATTTGAGCTGTGCAAGAGTAAGCATTACCTGCCCTCAGAAGTGCCTGTTCCTGTGTGTCAAGATGAATCAGAGCTCTGGACTCCCCTTCTCCCCAGCAATTGGTACACCCAAGGCAGTGACTCATTCAGATGCAAAGGATCTTCTCCTCTGAGAGCAAGTAACTTGGCCAGTTCTGTGCACCAGCATGACCAAGTGATCCAGTCACAGCTGTTGCAGAAATGTGGCAAAATGATCCCAGGACAAGAATAGTTGATCATGCAGAGATGGAGTGGCCAGCTTCTTCTCTGCCTGGGTGTTATGTGTTCCCAAAGAGAACCTTTAATCATTTAAGCTGTATTCCTATGCCTGTTTTGGGGGGTGGGGTGGGGGGACAAATCCTACAAGTCCCAGATTTCTCCAGGGAACATGGTTGGCTGGGGAATACTGGGGATTGCAGAATGCTTTTCTGTCTAACCAGGCATAGGGTTGTGCCTTTATAGACCAATTTCTTGCAGCAAGTTAGTGCACTCTGCACTAGATCTGGAATATTCATCTTATAGAACTTAGGTGAAGTCTCTGATAGTGTGTTTTTTAATTAAACCACAGTCCTTTGATATTAGGTGAAATATAGACTAAGTTTGTGAACCCAAACACACTTTATAAAATTTCTAGGCTGATATATCTGACAAATACTTCCTAGAAATTCTAGCTGCTTTCTCCTTAGATGGGACTACATTTCTTGGTCACAGAAGAAGTATCCCCAAGGAGCCTTGAGCTGTTGTTATAGAGGGCATGAACTCCTCCTTGATCTCTCCCATCATAAGCGCTGTGGCCAGCTGCTCCATAATTAGCCTAGTTATGTTAGCTGGCCCAGGTCATGAGGTACATCTCTGAAGGGCATGCAGCAACCAACCCTCATCCGTGAAAGGAGCTGCAGTTCCATTCCCTCTTTCAAATCCTGCCTTTCACCCCAAACCAATCTGTACCTTGAAAAAGCTGGCATCAATAGGATGGGATCAAGTTTCTGTGATTCATGAAACGCCAGCTCTTCTCTTAACAAACAAAATGAACAAAGCAGCCGCACAGCTAACAGGTCTGTGAGTTCATTAAGGTGATGCTGCACCCAAAAGCTAACTAAGTGGCCGAGATCTGGTGGCCTGCACCACACCAGCAAATTGCAGTCAGGTGATAAATCAATGGACGAACAATAATCGCTTTGGACAAATGTGCAACCCCTCCCCCAAAGCTTTTGGACAAATGTGTTAACCACCATCACAATTAAACTGTGAATTTAAAATCACTCCACTGAAATCCAAACTTCATTAAGAGAGCATAAGAAATAACTACACTAAAGTTGTCCCTGGCTGGAACTAAAATTGTCCCTGGCTGTGTGAGGGGCAGCCAGAACAAATGAATGCCGAGCAGCATAAATACAACTGGTATGTTGTCTATTGTACTCTTTTCTACTTAATGGCATCAATAAATATAGCTAGAACAAGGTAGCATAAATCTGTCCTTCCTTGTGTCACCCATTTCTAGCAGTAAAGCATTCCTTTACCCATTAATAAATAATATCGCTCATCACTTATCTCAGGAAGCAAAGTCTGGAAAAGTATATCCACACTATGTACTTTGTGTAAATCGAGCAGGCGCTGCTACTCCATAATATGTTGGTCTGCTAAAGACACTTTTATTTTTAAAAGGTATTATATAAAGCACACTGTGAATGTTTCCGAGAGCCTTTGGCAACTATTTGCTGATATCAATATCACATTAACATTGACAAAGCCATAATGGTTGTAGAGCAATGGCCCCAGCCTTTCATTATTTCTCATCCAATCATTTTTATATAATAAAAGCTGTCTTAAATACACTTCACCACTGCTCTGTCCTTCTCTGTGCACACTGCCCTTGCAATTAAAGAGTTAGACCAGCTGAGAACAAGACAGAAAATGTGGAATGTATCTAGAAAGATGGACAATAGACCCTATAAGCAAAGCCTTCTGAATAATAAGAGCAGTTTCACGATGAATTAAACAGCCTAGTAAGGCTGTAGAAGCTCTTTATTTGAAGGATGCCATGGAAGCACAAATTGCCATCTGACTTGAATGTTTAGAACTAAGGCAAAGGAAGGGTACAGCTAAGAGCAGATTGCAAGCTTTCCTTCTCTCAGTTTATGAAGGGAGGCTCAGGGACAGCCTCAGCATCCTCGGTTAAATGATGTCAGGTAGCAGCTGCTATTCATCTCAGGAGACAGAGCTGAGTGAGATGGACCAACAGTCTGATGCAAGCAATGCCAGATATTTACTGTGCTTTAGAACAGGGGTTGGTCATGATGGCATGATTCTGCAACAGAACCTGTGAAGCTTTTGACCTGTGCTTAAAACTACTACAATGTTAGTTTTTGCACCACTGATAACAATACCTCTTCGATTTTCTTCTGCATGACCTTCCACTGACATTCCCACTCCTTCCTTTCATTGTCGAAACGCTCCAGGAGTTCCATTTTCTCTTTGTTCCAGTTCCTCTCCGTCATGTTCTCCAGTTGTGTCTGTAGCTCCATGCCTGCAGTGGGTCCACTGAGAAGCACCTGTGTCCTCTTTTCACTTCTAAGCTTTGAGCGAATGTGGAAGTTATTACATCAGGAGTTGCCTTATTTGCCTTTGGTTCCAGATATTTTTGGAGGGTCAGGGAGGAAATGGGAGAAAAACAGAAGAAAAGGAAAATGTTTCCATTAACGCTTGCTTGTGAAGCACGTTTGGGATTTTTGTTGTTACTTTAAAGCCAAGCTCAATAAATTGGTGACACTTGACTTTTATTTATTTGTTTTGCTGTGGTGGTGTTATATGCTACAAGATTTTAAAAACCCACTGCTACTTCTGAAAAAATGTTGGAAATGCAGTGCCAAAAATTCAGGGTGGGGGGAATTAACTTTTTTTTTTTTTAACATTACTGGTGCTTTTGTAAACCAGGCAAGGTTTTGCAAAGATTTTTAAATGCTGTTAAAGACAAAAGATAAAATAGTAATATTATATATAAAATAGTAATATTATATACAAGCATTGTATACACACAAGAGATACAATAAAATAGCAGGCAGTTGAGGTATTCAAATGTGGAATGTTCAATGATTTCTCCGATGTAACTAAAAAGGCATTGGAGAAATGCAGGATATTGCCACTAAAAAGATTGAGATAAAATGCCATTTGTAGAGGAATGGTGGAGAAAGAAGTGAAATATGATGTTAATGAGTAAATGAATTACTATTATTAAGACATGGATGAGCAACAGCACTACAACTAACTCTGTGAGCAACCAGAAAAGCATCTATTATTATATTGGAATAGGGACGAATACCACAAAATGCATGTATACAAATGGTCACTGTTGTACAATCAAGTTCATTAGAGTGCAACCCTAAGGCTTCCTGACATTGTCTGGACTCCTAGCTCCAAGATCATGCTAATTCTGGGTTCTGGGCCTTGGGCAAATGAGGGCATGTTGGAGGCAGGTAGGAGGAGGCTGAGGCCAATTCCTATCAGCTCCCCTACCCTGGGACTTGATCTAGACAGGCAAAAAAGGACAGTTGACTAAGACACACGGCGTGAGGTGTGGTGGAAGCCAGGAGTGCCACCACTGCAGCTCATTCCATGCACAGGATTCCCGTGATAAAGATGATGGCACACACGGTCCTGTTCATGCAACATGCACAATAAATTCATTGGAGGATGGCGTTAGGATCACACCCAGAAGCCCAGCCTGACCTAGAATAGGCTAAGCAAACAGACCCTACAGGCAAAGAATGTGTGGACAGAGCTGGGATCTCTTCACAAGGTCTATGGAATGCATTGAGCTGGAGTGGAGCTAGTGAGTGAACCCAGCTGCTCCCTGTGCTCCATGGGTGAATTGCCCCCCCTTTCACCTGGCCATGCCCCCAGTGGTTTCATGTACTCTCACCAATGGCCTCCTGGCTTTTGCAGACCCCTCCCCATTCTAAGGATGTGGGTGCTGCAGTGATTTAAATTGCTCAGTCTCTGGGCTTGTCGATTGAATGGTTGGCAGTTTGAATCCAAACAATGGAGTGAACTCCCTGGCTTTGTCCCAGCTCCTGCCAACCTAGCAGTTCGAAAGCATGCAAATGCAAGTAGATAAATAGGTACCCCTTCAGTGAAGAGGTAACAGTGTCCCATGTGCCTCAGTGTTTAGTCATGTGGCCACATGAGCATGGAAACTGCGGACAAAGGCTGGCTTCCTCAGCTGAGAAACACAGGTGAACACCCCCCCCCCCCCAGAGTTGGACTTAATATTATGGGCAAACATTTACCTTTATCCCATTCAAAAGGGTTAAAATGCCTCTTCTAAGGCTTATCACTGGCAGTGGGAGCTTTAGGCCAAAATATGCTCGTGTTTTTGGTACTTTGGCCCCACCATCTTTGGCCCCATCCCATTTCAAATGAGGCTCTTGAGATTCTCCCAAATGCAATTCAGTCCTGATGCTGAAAGATGTTCATATCTCTTTTATTACACTTGCTGTACCATGGGAGGAGGAATGGTCTGGCTAGGACATCACGGCCAGCGCCAGGAGAATTCTTCCTTCAGCTCCTCAAGACTAAAGGAAACCATCCTTCTACAAGCAGCTTCAGGTACAAAAATCTGTATCACTACCAAAAGAGAACATCTCTCACTTCCTTTCTGTTTCTCTTGATTTCTGCCTGACTGTCACTGAACTGGCAACCCTCTGTCTCGGCTGCATCACTTCAACTAAGGCTCACGAGACGAAAGCAAAGAAACCCTGCATCCGCCAGCCATATATTGATCTTGTGGGAGTGGGTGACTGAGGAAACATCACCTTGAACTGGTGTTTTCTTTCTTGGCTGAAGGAGATTCATTTTAGCAAAATTTCACAGCTCCTGATGAAGTTGTGAAATTTTGATAAGCAAGCAGACAATCTGATTTTAAGGTTGGAACCCAAACTAGAAAAAGAATATTTAGATCTGGAAGCGGATTCCATCTGAGTGGACAATTCACAATATTTCTTTCACTCAAGAGGTTATTTTAGCACCACTATTAATAGTCCATGTCCAATTGTATGTTTGCTCATTGTCTCCTGTATGATGTCCCTTATTCTCTATGCCAGTCTTGTCCAACCTGGTGCCTTCCAGATGAGTTGGACTACATCTCCCAACATTCCTCAGCCCCTGCCTGATGGACACTGGAGTCCAGCACATCTGGAGAGCACAACCAACTGAAAAAGACTGTTCTGTGCTTTTGGAGTAAACTAATCAATATAACTCTTTCGCTACTATTTTCTGATTTATTTGATACAAATGCAGGTTTCATAAATGAAACTCTTTATGGTACATGCATAAAAATTCAAATAGGTTGGATCCAGAGATTTTATTTTATTTCAGTTCATTATTTTTATTTCAATTCCATTCAAAACATTCCAGCAGAAAAGGAGAGAAGTAATTTTCACAGATTTCCTTCTCCCTCTGCAGCCCACAGTGCTGCCCACCGCTCTGTTCTTAAAAATTCCTTGACCCTCTGGAACAGGTTTTCTTTGCAGGGGAGGGAATAGGGGACAGTGGGTGTGGGTTTGCCTTTCCACCCACCTGCCAGTTCAGTTAGTGGAAAAGCTTCACTACAGCAAACCCACCCACTGGCAAAAGGTGCTCTTTTGTCTGCAGATTTATTTGCTGGGCCTAGATCCATAGTTTTGAAATACTATGTGATCTTGTGTTGGAAGCTATCTTTTGGGAAAGTATGCAGGATGGAAGTCTTTAAAATGCAACCAACCAATAAATGAGCAGTTGAACTCCTTCCACTCTTTCCAAAACTAAACGAATGCTGGGGAATGACTTACCTGTGCAATGCAGCATCCTGCCTGTTCACTTTCCAGATCTCACCCAGAACTGTCACTAGACTGTGAAGCCCCAAGGAGTTTGGTGTTTTCCCACCTCCTCTCTCAACATGGCTTCAAGCACTTTCCAAAACTGAACTGGGGTCCAGCAAAGTCTTTATCTGTTTATACCTGCACAGAAATATTTAGGACTGGTTTATTACAATTCAGGGTCACTGCAAGTAGCAGAGCTGTTTAAAGGCAGAACAGGGTTCTTCAAAAGGGAGGCCAGGAGGGAATGATTGTTTAAGCAAAATTCTTGGCTTCGTGCAACACGCAGCCAGCAGATGAAGCTTCCATTGTTTCTAAGGCCAAAGTTCTAACTCAGTGCCAGGGACTAAAGTGACTATTTCTCAAAAACAAACTTCTTAAAGTTTCCACTGCACCAAAAGCTCTTTTGCCATCCAAATGCCATTGAAATAGAGCATAAGAAGCCATTTCAATATTTTAAAGGTTTACAATAACGTGCAATACTTAGATTTACATTTACCTTTTCTTGTTGCAAAGTATTATGGGAGAGTGTTACATTTACATTTGAGAAGACTGCTTGGAACAGATTTCTGAGCAATTCAAATAAGTCCTCCCATTGTTCATCAGACTTGCTTGGCATAAAGCAGTCTTCTGCAACCTGATGCTCTCCAAGTGTTTTTGACTACAACTCCTATCAGTCACAGCCAGCATGGCCAGTGCTCTGGGAGGATGGGAGTTGTGCTCCAAAACATGTGAAGGGTAACAGGCTGATGAGGGTAACATAAACATAATTCATTTTGCACAGCCCTATGAAAAGGGATGATGCAGAAAGCTCTCTAATATAATTCAGTGAGGAATGTAAAAGATAAATATTACAAGACAAGCATGAATACATTCCACCATAATGTGTATCGATTTTTCTTTTAAGCTGTAATGCATACATTTACAGAGCAGCTCAGCATGTTAAACCCCACCCCCCGCAAAAGAGCACAGAGTATTCCTAAATTTATTACTTGGTTGCTTATATCAGCCTTTGCAGTACTTAGTCCCACCAGACTGAAACCATGCTGGAGGCAGTCCCAGTGCAATCAATTTCTGGAAGAGCATACTGGGAGACATTAGACATTACACATGGTGTAGAATAGGATATCTGGAAGGGAGGTGAGCATTACATAACTCAAGTTCTTGAGCTGTGATGGGTTCCTCCTCACCCAAATGCTCCTAGCACATACCAATCACATTGTCATACAATGCATGCAACGTGGCCAAGTAGTTAAGAGACTTGAACTGGAGCCAGAAAAACTGGATCCAAGTCCCGTTCCTTCCCTGGATGCATTCTGCAGCAAGTCACTTTGTGGGCTCCTATAAAATGGGGGCAGCAGTGACCTTATCCACAGGGTCATTGCAAGCATGATCTCAACAAAGACTATAAAGCACATTTGGAAATTATTCCATTTGAAGCACACTTCAAAGTAAAATATTCTATAGCAAAGTATGACAAAGTATTCTACGCCTAGTAACACCATTAAGTACAACTCAGTGAAGCTTATGCAGATGGCCCAACTGGGCAACATTAAAACTCTCTCAAGAATATGTGCTTTCATTTGTGCTGCTTATGCTTTTGCCACATTTTCTAGTCAATTGATTCTGTGGATCACCATTTAATTTTGACCCAAATGGTCCAATTGGTATTATGACAGGCAAATTCCTTAGAGATTTCAGACACTCTCCTTATCTCTATCTCTTCCCGACTAAGCCTTCCTAGCTGGGAGACTAGATTTATTTCTACTTTGTACGCATATGGTCAGAGACACACTGCATGCATTAATAAATTACTTCTGTCTGCAAATAGGGAAGTTTTCCTTTTGCAAGTCAGCGACCATCAGCCACAATGCAACATGGTTTTTATTTCCTTTGGGCAACAGCAGGACATTTTTGCTTTGGCTGTCCTGACACTTTGCAGTATGTCCTAGACAAGGTCAGAAGCTCAATACAGCACTAAACTTCATGCAAACAATCAATGTCAGGCATATCAGTTGCACTTTCCTCTCCCTCCCTTTCCTGAAACAACAAGCTTGCTTTTAAAAATGCCACATAGCATTATACTCTGCATTTATTCCACTCTCTCTTTACACAAATATACATAAAATCTCACATAGTTTGAAATAAATACCTTTCTTGGGTAAGAAAAGCAGCTACTCAAAATAACAAGCAAGTGACATCAGCCAAGGAGGTGTTACGTGTTGAGGGAGATGAACAAAAGTGGACACACAAGGCAGCTCTGAGACAGGCATAGCCTTCTGATGATTTACAGGCAACTCACTCAGCTGTGCCAGGTTTTGAATACATGCTGCAAAACGGTTTGGATCACACCAGCAGCAGGCATCTGTGCCATCATGCATGCACATCCAAGCCACTGTCATGCAGAGACAGTCAAAGAATCAAATGCATAAAAAGACGGGCTGTCAAGTATCTCAGTCATTGTCTAGGAAAAGTTCACTCAAGCTTTCTATAAATAATCCATGTTGTATGAAGATGAGTTCTGACCTCCATACCAATCAGAAGAAAATTAGATCTCTAAAGATGCCTTTGAATACATAGCACCTCTTTCTGAAAATATTCTCATTAAAACGAAATGAACTATAAGCCTACCTTTTATGGCAGAAGGATCCCTTTGCAAGTTAAATTAGTACAAGCATAAAGCAGCAGCAAAAACAGTTAAGGACTTCCTATACGGGAAATATTGATTCTTCAAAGAAAGGAAAGGCATCAACTTCTCTGCCACAACAGCCTTTGGAACTCTGTTAGATCAACTTTGCAACTTCTTGCCAACTGAAAAACAGTTCCGTTTAGCATCATCCCAGCAGCTGGTTTCCATGTGACGTCAGCACACAGAGGATGGGTTTAAAGTCTCTTCCAATCCCCAGCTGTGTAACTTTATATCTTCTCATATTTTATGTAAACAGCTTCCATGTCCAGGACTCTTTTAGGTTTTATAGTGGAGCCCAGTTTTAAACCATGCCAAAACAGCCTGTGTAAATACTAGAGCTATGACAATAGCCAGTTTCAGATTTCTTTTCTAAAAGGCAGTTCTAAAAAGGCATACTTTTGAAGGAGCATACATATATAATTTTCAGAAGTATAGTTATAATAGCAAACTTCCTCCACAGATTTTGTATTTTCCCCTTTTCCTTCAAAATAATAGGTTAGTCAGTCATAGGTCAAAGAGCAACACACACAGAGAGAAAAACAAACACACACACCAAACTCACAAAGCTTCTTTCTTTGCCGAAGTGAACTTGACAACTGTTATCGAACTCCATCTGGCCCAAAGACTAAAGGAGAATGAGAACATCAAGCCCAACTATCCTCGTGATTATTGAAGTGTCTTGAATTGTATGTGTGGGTGCCTGGGAAGACTGTTCAACAGCTGCAGCTGCAGAGGAATGCACTGACCCTGCCTTCGGATGGGTGGGCGGTGGGGGTCAGTTGGAGCACAGAAGGACAGGATTCCAAGTCTCTGCTGGCTCCTTATTGCCAGCTGTATCAGCACAATATGAGGCACTAGATTCAATTCATAAGGCATAAAGAGCTCGGCCCCTCTGTACTTTATTGCTCCTGGGATAAACAGTAAATGAATGTAGGAGCCCTATTCAGGCATTGCTGGAGCAAAGAGGCAACATGGACACAGCAAGGCTTGGGGGTGGGTGCAGGGGTGTCACACATTTATTTAGTATTTATTTATTGGATTTCTAGCCCACCCCATTAACCACATTTAGCCTTTCTCTTGCAGGTGTGTGGTCCCTCCCAGCCTCTCAGAAGCTCAGGATGGACTTCTGCTGTGGAGAATTTTCAGTAGAGCTGGGTTCAAAGCAGTGCAGGGTGTTTCCACAGATAGAAAAGACCATCCAGGGAAGATTTTATCCTTGAACATGAACTTTTTTTTTTGGTAGTGCCCTCCAACCTCAAGTAACAATACAATAAGACAAGTAGGGAGGCATTTCCAGTGACTGCATTGAGAGTCTAAAAGGCTTTCTGTAATTTGGACCATCACAGAACGTGTTGTGAATCATCTTTTTAAAGCAAAGATTATATTGACCAGGAATGGTTAGGCAGTCTTTTAATAAAAACAGTTTGCCTTTGGCTAGGGATCATTTTACACATTGGTTTCTACAATGGGATCCCTTTTCACCTGTCCGGAAATCCCTGAACCCTGCAGTGCATTCTGGATCATATTGTCATATGACCCCTGATGAAGTCTATTGGAACTCACCCTGGAACCATACACTGTGATCTTTTGGCAAACTTTCCTGCCATGACTAATATTTTCAGTCAGGAGCTCTTAACAAGCTTCTGCTGATCTCAGAATTCCCCAGAAAACAGTTTGAAAATCAGGTTTTTAATAAAATAATTCTAATCTGCATTTATTTTTTTAAATAACTGCTATCTGCCTTAAGACAAAGGAACTGGTCATTTTGATTGGCCATTAGAGATGTGTAACATTGCAAAAATCCTTTCGAGTCTCACCACCATCCACAGTATTCCCAGTCTGGTGCTGAGAAACAGGCTGTAATATAGAAGCCATTTCCAAAAATGTGTGTGAAACAGTTGCACACACTGAGGACCTAGATCTGCTGATTTGCACAACACAATGGGATCTGAATCTTGAGGTGTGCATAAATGTGTCTATGCTATTTTTAATATTGAAATAGCCCCAGGTGCAGTATATACTTTTGGTAAATAGCCTTGTCAGTTTCATCCTCACCCTGGTTCATGGTTAGTTCTCCATATTCCCTTGTTTCCCTTCTAAATGTCATTGTACATTTCATCTAGTTGGCTTCCTAACAATATTGTTCTGGTAGAGCTACATGACTTGCAAATTGGTATATTTTAATTATTTTCATGTTTTTATTTTTCAGCACCCATGACTAGAACAAATAGGGTCATTGTTTGTAGACCAATTTCTTTCCAACAATACTGTGTATTTTTTCCTGTAATGTATTGGTTCTGACAAATACTATTTATTGTTTATGATTACTATAACCTACGTCTGGTGGGTTTGTTTGTTTTCAGCAGCAAAAAAAGATTTTGGGGCTGGGGCAGCTGGCTTGATTAGGGTCAGGCATATGAAAGTCTCCAATCTGCACAACTCTGAGATGTCCACAAATGCCCACAGTTTCCCTGAGCTTTAAAACAGTAATAATAAAGTCACAACATTGTAGCCTATTTTAAAAGCTGAAATCCGCATCACATGCTGGCTTGACTCATGTGAGACTGAGTTGAAACCAGTGTGGACGCTAGAAGATTGAGCTGGGGAAATTTGTAAGGTTTCACCCTTCGAACTAACTCTTCACACATCCCTAGTAATAAGAGAGCACTTAGAGAGTGGGAATGTTTAGTATATAACACCCATAGTAAATGTTTCTCAGCATTTTGGAATCTACTGAAAATGACTGGCTCAGAATATACATTAAAATTACCTTCTCATTTTTACAGTAAATCAGTTGTCCAACTTGTTAGGGATCCAGATATGGTGCTACACACATGCTCCTTCCCGGTGGAAAGTAGGTACCAAACTGACTAAATATAAGTAGAGGAAAAATCTGCTTGGCTCCATAAAGATGAGGACATTAATTTTATCCCACACATGGGAGACAAAGTGGCCAAGCAAGGTGAGAACATTTTAATGAGATCTGGAAGTTATTTATTGAATCAGCCAAGATGGATATAACTTTCCTGTGTCCATCAGCTCCCCTGGTCAACTCAGGAGAAACCTTTTCAGATGAGGTAGCTTGCAATACATTGCACAACATGAACTGGACAACATGTTTCCCCTATTAGATTATTAAGTGCAAGGCCCATAATAAACTGAAATAGGTGTCTTATTTATTTGCTTGTTTATTGCCTGTTTTTTTGGAAAAAAAATCCAAAAATAACTTGTAAAAATAATAACTTGTAAAAACCAAACCAAATCAAACCAGTCTCCAGCAATTGCTCTTTCTTGTATAAGGATGTGATTCAGTACAGTAGCTTTCCAAACTTTTTAAACAGGGTCTTAGCACCGTGTGTATAAATATAGTCAGGACTCAAGGTTGCTGCTGGGTCTTTATGCTACAAAGTAGGGATTCAGCCTTTCGGTCACCCCTGAATTCCAAGCAAAAAGAGGGCACTGAAGGAAGCCTAGTCAGACCAATAGTAGCCTCCTGAAGAACACTGGCAGTGTAGGGCAAGAGCCATATGAAATTTCAGATCACTTATTCTGCTTTCATTTAATCAAGAAATAGGGTTTGCCTGTTGCTGCTCCTTTAACAAATGGAACCTATCTCATTGAGCGTTGTCTTGTCTTACATATTCATCTGGAACATTGCTACTGGCATGGTACCCACAGTAATTTGACAGAAGATGCTTCAGAGAGGGATTGAAGCTGGAATTGATATTCACCCATTCCACAGAGGACCATGCCATGCTGCACTGTGACCAACAATGATGCCAAAAGGTGAGATTGTGGGTGGGGGGACCCACCTACAAGTCGCCTTGCTCACTCCTCTTTCTGCCCTGCTCTGGCAGAAGTCCACTGCAGAGTACAAACCTATTATGTATCTTGGCTGGAACTCAGATAGACCGTGCTGAATTGTTTATGAGCACACAGTTCAGCCACTTTGCAGATGAAACAACTGGGTATATATATGCTGGTTCAGTTCTAGTTAGTCATGATGGCTTTCTCCAGGCACTGGCAGAGTTTCCTAAGGATTTACTAGCAAAGCGCCCAAGCCCTCTTCCTCATAAATTTCTTGGTACATTTAGTTTGAAAAGGCAAATGTTTGACCTGCATTTGGGACTACAAGAAGTTAGAAGGCAATGAATTAGCTTATGCCATGATGGTATTATTACAAGTGAAGACCTTCTTCTCATAAACAGAAGATGAAAATGTCAACCTATTTGGGAACTGGACTTCTTTAGGCTTGGGGTGGCATCTTCTGCCATTGACTTTTCATCCATTAAAAAAAGGCCCTGATAATTTTGATATTTGGGTTCATTTATTGTGTATTAAAAAGGATTTGAACTTTCACAGGAGTCACAGCAATTTTGGAAAGGGGATGGAGATTTTTGATTTTTTTTTTTAAAGAACTTTTAACATGCCTCCAATAGTCCCAGTGGCAGGATGCAGCATTTCTTTATGTTTCATGTTAAATGCATATTTAATGCTGTATGTTTTTCTTTTAATTGCATTCTACATTTTAAAAAACAATTAAAAATGAAAATAAAAAGAAGCCCTGAACATGGGCAACTAGCATGGAAAGGGTTCTATCCTCAGCTCTGAACATCAGGGATGTAGAGTTAAGGGGTTACAGGCCATACGGAGAAAGGGATTTTTCCCAGATCACATTAAAGCCTTTTCTGGTTTATGACATGCTAGTTGCTTCTGCTTTCTAGTCATGAAGATTACAAATGTCCTGAATTTCCACTGAAGCATTTGGTATCTACTTCCAAATTTTACCTAGACATACTAGGTGTTGAATTGAGTACTTTGCAACATAAGCTGGCAAATATATAGCTTATACTGAATAGCTCTGAAAGACTACCCTCACTAAACAAAATCTGTAGCAGCAGAGAAAATGGTTATTATATCCAATAGTAATGTTTGCTATCTGTGCAAACCAGTATATCCACCGCTGACTCAGTTCTCCTCAACTACTACACCAGTGCAGGTAAGGGAGTTACCATCAGGATCTTGGGGATCCGAGAAACCTATTTCGTTGCACAGAATCCTACCTTCTGAACATGCTGTATTATGCTAGGAATGGTAGAAAGGGGGAAGCTCTCTCAGTGCAGATTTAAGAGCCATCAGGATTAATCCTCATCTCCATTTCTGCTCCAGTTTGTAAATTCAGAGTTCAAACTGGGGGGA